CTCTCAGGTCAATGTTCGTATTTGGGGAAATCCACACTTAGAACTTCTTTATTTTAGAACATAATGGATAATACACAGTAACGGTGGTTAGCTGTTAGCCATTAGCTGTAACAATGCTAACTTCTGCTGGACAACAGACCTTCATAAAGGCTTCAAAAGGTCTGCCAGAAAGCCCTCATGTTGGCCCGGCAACAGCTGAATATGACACATATCTGAATATATGAATAGAAATAAGTCTGATATAAAAACAGGATTGTTGCAACACGGACCTTTTCTCTTGTAACACAGGAAGTCTCTGACCGCTGCACTGCTACATATGCTAACTGTACTAGCTGCTATAAGCTAGTTAGCGGTCCTATTTAGTAGTGTAGGAGCACCCAGCAGGGAATACTGCCGGGGCCCGGATGAGCCACAGAACTGGAGCAGGACCCGAATGAGCCACAGAACCGCAGTGGGGCCAGAATGAGCCAAAGAACCAGAGTGGGACCCAATGAGGAACTGCAAACTTTAATTTTGTTGTTTGTTGAATAATGATCAATATGTTAATTGACAGTCTGACAGTGGGACCAGGTCTCGGCCCTCCTGGACTAATAGGGATCAGACTGTGATGTGAGGAAGGTTCCAGTCTGCTCCTCCTCCTTTTCATTATCATCTTCATCTTCATCACTGATCTGTAACTTTTTTATCCAAAAACCAATTTTTACTCCTCAGACAGGAAACAGTGTGTTACAGTGTGTGTGTATGTGTGTGTGTGTGTGTGTGTGTGTTACAGTGTGTGTGTGTGTGTGTGTGCTGACAGCTCTGCTGACATGAAAACAAAGCTGTGACATCATCAGCTGATCCATCTGAGATTCATACCAGCAACCTCCTGACACTTCCTGTCAGCTCTTTCACAATAAAATACCTGCTGCGCACACACTAAAACTGTGGTGAGGTCATCAAACCCTGATGTCACCTCCACCCTCTTCGTCATCATCATCATCATCATCATCATTAGGCTTTCCGTGCACGTGTCAGCCTACCTGTGTCTGCTGGCGGCGCGAGCTCCATGCGCGTGCGCGTGTCCGCCGGTGTACAGGCTGTAGGTGGGTCGCAGCGGGAACGCGCTTTTGGCGTGTCCGCAGGTCCAGAGCGCGAGCAGGAGTGCGAGCAGGGCCGCCATCCCGCTGATCAATCAACGTTCAATATAAGCTATCGATACTCGATTGGAGTGTGATCCGCTCCTCAGCTGGCGGGAAAAACTTCCATCTCCATGGAGACCAAAAGAAAAGTTTCCACTAAGTCCGCCCGTCCTGCAGACCCATCATCCGGATTCTGAGTCCAGGTTCCTCTGATCCGCTCCTGGTCCGGGTCCTTTAATCCAGATGTGATCCGGTTTGATCCGGTTCGTCCATCAGAACTTTGAAACAAAGAGAAGAAGAAAACGTTGCGACAGACTGAACCGAGACCAGCTGCTCCTCCTCTTCATCACCGCCCCCCAGAACTGTCCCCGCCCCTCCCGAAGGGGAAACCGGACCCGCAGCTCCACAGCCACACCTGGAAGTCCTCACAGTCCCCGGTCTTCTTCCAGTTCACTGTAAAAAATCCAAAATCAAATGTCAACAAACTGATCAAATTCTCATGAATGAGCCAATCAATGAGGATCAATAAGGATCAATGGGGCTCAATGGGGCTCAGGGGGTCTCTTAAAGTCTGTGAGGGTCTGTATTTGATCTGTTTTTATCAGAACTAAAGGATCAGTCTGTTCTTTATTGTCAATATATAAATAATAAGTGTGTGTGACCACCTAATCAATAAGATCAGTTAAATAATCAATGGAGTTGAAATAAAGGTGTATATGTATATATGTCTGAATCATCAATAACAACACACACATTAACTCTTTTATTGTTAAAATACCGATCAATAAATAATATTAATGATATATTTCTGCTCTTTTGAATTACATAAATAAATCAAGTCAAAACACTGAAATAAATCATGTTTCAAAATATTGTTTTAAAGATAAGATAAGATAAGATATTCCTTTATTTGTCCCACAATGGGGAAATTCCGGTGTTGCAGCAGCAAAGTGGAAGAGAAAAAGAAACAGTATTACAAACAGTAAGCAGTAGAAAAAAATAATAAAATAAAAACATATGTACAAGAGAAGAAAGAAAGTAAGAACCTACAACAGCAACAGATACACACAACAGATAACACAAAAAAGACATATACGAATATTATCTAATATGAACGCAGCAGGCAGGTTAGCAGTGGAATAATCGAAATTGTATCGGGGTCTACTGGGAGTCAGTGCTGGTTGTTTATTATTCTGACAGCCAGCCACGAAGGAAGGACCGTTACCCGGAAAAAAAGAATTTTTCTCCTCTTCCTTCCCCACATTTGGGTGCTTGAAGGAGTCCGCGTCCCCAGCTGAAGGACTGGCTCAGTGCAGTGATGGTGTCCGCATGGGGGTGGGAACATTGTCCATCAAGTGATGATATGCTTTTGCTATCTTCTCTCCTCCCCTCTTCCACCACCTTGCACATGAGTCGTTTAGGGGCAACCGCAGGAACTACGAGCCTGGCCTTCTTAATCAGTTTGTCGATGCTCTCTTCCTGTCGACTGCCTGAGATGCTGCTGCTCCGCCAGACCCCACGCCAAAGACCAATGGCTTGATGCCACAAACGTGCAAAGACCCCATAAGTTCATATTAAAAAAAATAATTAATGACTTCAAAATTAAAAAAATATTTATAAGGGGAAAGGTGTAAAAGCTTACATTAGAATAGTTTATATAGACCTATACTTTCAGTACAGCAGATGCATACGAGGCTGACATTGCACAATTAAAAACACCATTATGTAAATTCATCTGACACTTTAGCATGAATATTTACCGAAATCAACCATGAATGAACCTCTTAAAGACGTTTAGTCGAACTTCTCGGACCTTCAAGATTGGCACCGCCGGGGTTAGGGAGAGAAGGAGGAGAAACATCCTGCAGGACCTTCTGACGTTAAAGAATGTTTTATATCTGCTTGTTCCCCAAATACCTCCCAACAGACAGCACACAACAGATCAAAGCCCTGCCTCTGAGCATGCTTGTTCTGTGGGTGTGTTTGATTTGTGTCACTGAGTGTGCTCCACCGGGTGGAGGCTTTAAATGAAAAAAGCACCTGATTCCATCTCAATTTATAACACTTTTCATTCCCATCAAGCCATCAGTGAGTCCATTCTCTGTTTCACTGTTTGTGCATGTTCTGTTTCACACCTGTAAAACGTGCCAGCTGGGCCGTCAGGAGCCCTAAGCCCCTAACCTTCATTAATATTGACTATCTCCTCCTCTGAGTTTAGATATTGGGACGAGCACGTCCACCACCCAGCTAACGCCAATCGGCTTCATATGTCAACAATGAATCATTTTCATTTTTCACACTTTTTATTATGATCTGATGGCCGCCACAGTGAAGGGTTGTAGTGCCTAGCTTTGTCTCCCTGCTGGCCTGTGGGGAGCCTGATTTTTCTATGTGCTTTCCTATGTAGAGGCTCCCAAAGATGGCCCTTTTCTTCTCCGCCCGTCCCTAACAGTGCCCAACAGAGTACGACACCGGCTAGCAACCTTAGCCTACCCCTAAATGGAGCGCTCGCGCTAACATCTACCACCAACAAGTGCACCACCCGCCACGACACACACCACGAGCTCCACACACAACTGTCTTTATTTTTTACTTTCACCTCTCACGTCAGTCTTAAGTGTGTTTGCTAACAACAAACAACCCAAAAGAAGACAGCCAATCCACGATGAGAGGCCTGGACGCTCGTGCCGCTCAATTTATCTGACACTCACGCACACACCCAATCGCTTTTTTCAGCGGTAGCCAGTTGTGGGTCCGGAAATCGTTTTACTGTGAAAAAGAAAATGGTCGACGCCCCGCTGATGCGGGACTGCAGGGAACCGGCTGGATACCAGACACAAACAGGACAGGAAACGACACACACACATCGACGAAATACCACCCCACGTCTTACTCAATCGCTATATGACTGGCAAATATGAACCTTTTGTGTTTTCCCTACACACCCCAACCACTCAACCGTACTATACTGCGTCGAAAGCACTTGTCTCTACAAGTAAACTTAACTTTGAAATGTGAATACACAAGCTCGACTGAATATGGTGAGATGCAAAACGTGTGCCTTTTGTTGAAGTTGGGTCTGTTTTTTTTTTTTTTTTCAGCAGACCCGAGCACCAAAGCGTGAGCAAACTCTGATAGGCAACTCTGATGTTTTTCATCTCCTAGATACACAACAAGCAGCGAGACAGTAACAGCACCGGACTCTACCACACCGTGGATGATGCACCCCCAAGAATGGGCACCCACGCCACTTGGGGCCCAGACGAGTCAGACCAACCCAGATCGCCCTCCCCACTCGCGCACCCACTAACCGCACTGTTTGCACTTTTAATGAGGCCCCCTGTTTTTAAATGGACTTCCTCGCCATCCAACCAGCATTCCAGCAGTCACAGCCTCAAGGTTGAGTTTTTTCTTCACCTCACATTCATTCTGTTTTTTCTCCATAGTGACTCCAACTTTCTCCATCTTAAATCTGTTGCT